TTAACTATGGTGAATTACGAGCGCAAATAAAAATCTAAATATATAACGAGGAAAATACATTTCGATTTATTCTCTTGGTTCAAAATGATATTTGATATATGCATCGTGAGAAACGTATCTGACAGACGTCGTCCCAAATCATGAGAATCAATAGTGTTTCTCAAGACTATAAACTCGTAACTTATATGTTATGTGTTTAATAAATCCATCTTTTTTCATTTCTTGGCTTTTATAATCGAAGCTTAACGCTTTGACAACCGGCTTTAATTCGCATCAAATATTATTTTTGCTACGTTTGTAACTTTGAATACTTAGGAAATGGTAGTTCGATGTTCGAAAATTGTCAACAGCTTGGAGTATGTGGCAAATAGAAAGGTGGGAGTAATCATTTTAAAGGAACGAACAGATGCGTATATCGTGCGCTAGTAGTTAAGTGCGTGCGTGGCGCTAGTGTCGCGTCAAAGTGAAGATGGTAGTGCAGATCTTACGAATGATTTCTTTTCGAGTTGCAATTCTTGAAACTTGCACCTCAGAGAAAGCGTTTCGATGTAGGTTACTCGAGCAAGAAGATAAGCTTTGCTACGTTGTCTCGTTCGATCGAGAACGCGTTCAGAAATTTCTGTTGCGCCTTTAATCGAGACGTGTATTATAGATAACACTTTATAAATTAACATGTAACTTTTGATCAATTATCTTCGATGAAATTGTAGATCTTCGTTTAACGACTATGTTAAATATGTTAAGAGGGTTAGGGAGGGAAAGGAATGTGATTTCGAGAGGACTTTATATCCTATATGCATAAGAAAATAGAAGGAAATTTGTGAAATCGTAGGTATATTATAAATGTTTGTAATCTCTTTCGCGATACGAATACAATAAAATTATAAATATTTTTCCTGTCTTCGTACAGTAGAATATAGAAAATCGCAAGAATATGAAGGCTTCCTTTAATAATTAACAGAATTCCAGGGGTTTTGAAATTTCCGGGATCAAGAATTACACGTTACACTTCTGCGTGAAAAGTTTTTGCAGGTATTCCGCATATTATAACGTTTTTAAATATTTCAAGTTTGCTCTGGTTTAGCCTTTGGTTAGGTAGCAGAGATTTATTGCTTGATTTAAATATATCTACGTGTTACAGGGTATAATTTCCACGCCTCGGCAAACGAACAGAACTGCGAGATTTATTGAAGATAATTTATAGAATTTCAGACTAATAAATTTGCGAAATTCGAAAGCGATAAAGGAAATGCCATCGTGCCGCAACGCCGATAGAAAAAGCAGGCGCGGCAAAGATTTCGTTAATGTTAATAGCCATCTACAATTAAATTAAAGGAAAAATATTCAACATGGATAAATGTTTATCGATATACTTGCTGTTAATAGAGCTACATTTTTCATTTAAAAAGATTAAATGTGCACGGTAAAATCTGCCGATACTTATATATTGTAAAAATCGATATTCTAATGGAAACTATCTCGAACGTACTTTCCTTCTAGTTAGTTTCACCTAAAGTAAAAACTTAATTTGACTAATCGATGTACTTTTTTATGATTATATTAGCCACATCCATATTCATGAAATTGTATCGTGTAAAATATCAGAAGTTGAAATGCTTTTTAGGTTTAACGAGCCTGCCGGACTTTGCATTTAAATGATAGATGAATGAGTAGGAAATGTATGAATGTAGGAAAACGTCTTAATCAGCCCGGGGCAAAATTACAAAACCTTTGATGCTGTAGGAGTAACAGGTATCGAGAGCCACGAACAGAGGCGTTCTACATTAAGTACATACAATTAAAGTAGGCCAAGACATACTAAGGTATGTAGAGCAGTGGTCTGGAGTAAGCACAGAGATTATTTTATCAGCGAGATTGTTGGTGTCAAAGCAAACGGGACGTTACGTGAAGCGCCAGATGCACCTATTATCGTTTCCTTTGAAAGTTGCTTCTTGGTACTATGATGGTACGTTCGATATCAAAATTAATAGGAAGACATGGATGTTCAAGCGAGAGAACGTTCATTTTTTTCTCGCGTTGAGAATTACATACTCGGTATTTTTTTCGTGCTAAATCGCTAGATTGAGAATCCTTATGCAACGCTAACTTGCAACGCAAGTAGAGAACTAGAATGTAAATGGAGATTTGTTTCATCTGCTAATAATAAGAATTCCAACTAAGCTACCACAGCTTGGATATTTTATATGTTTCTGTAAACTTATGTGCATTAGAAATTCCCACATTGACAACTGTACAGTCAATATCTTTCTGATACTGAATCACTAGATTATTCGTTTTTAAGCAAACGTATACTTTTATAACGCAAATAGAGAAGTAGGACATAAATGGAGATGTGTTCCAACTACTGATAATAAAAATTATAACGGGCACTGCAGTTTCAATATTTTATACGTTTCTGTAAACCTATGTACATTAAGAATTCTCACATTGAGGATTGTACATTCAATATCTTCTTGGAATTAAATTATTAGATTGTGAATTTTTGTGCAAACCTATATTTGTAGGACTCAAATAGAGAAGTAGAATATAGATGGAGATTTGTTCCATCTACTGATAATAAAAATTATAACGGGCATTGCAGTTTCAATATTTTATACGTTTCTGTAAACCTATGTACATTAAGAATTCTCACATTGAGAATTGTACATTCAGTATTTCCTTGGAGTTAAATTATTAGATTGTGAATTTTTGTGCAAACCTATATTTGTAGGACTCAAATAGAGAAGTAGAATATAGATGGAGATTTGTTCCATCTACTGATAATAAAAATTATAACGGGCATTGCAGTTTCAATATTTTATACGTTTCTGTAAACCTATGTACATTAAGAATTCTCACATTGAGAATTGTACATTCAATATCTTCTTGGAATTAAATTATTAGATTGCGAATTTTTGTGCAAACCTATACTTGTAAGACTCAAATAGAGAAGTAGAATATAGATGGAGATTTGTTCCATCTACTGATAATAAAAATTATCACAGGCACTGCAGTTTCAATATTTTATATGTTTCTGTAAACCTAAGTACATTAAGAATTCTCACATTGAGAATTGTACATTCAGTATTTCCTTGGAGTTAAATTATTAGATTGTGAATTTTTGTGCAAACCTATAATTGTAGAACTCAAATAGAGCAGTAGAATATAGATGGAGATTTGTTCCATCTGCTGATAATAAAAATTATTACAGTTTGGACATTTCATATGTTTTTGAATTATATGCATTCTGTGCAGCTGTGTGTCTTTAAATTTGTTACAAACGCATACAAATTTATCGTATACCGATAATTATATATTTAATCCTTTCGCTACCATGCGTCACGCATACGTGACGCATTCTAAAAGCCGCTTGGATTATCTACTTATCATTTTTTATTATTATATATGTCATAATGTGTAACACGTGAAAAGTTTGTAATCTGAGCTGTGAACAGCAAACCTTTCCTTAAGCGGCAATACCGAAAGAATTAAATAAAAAAGTGATACAAAAATAATACTATACAACGCCAATTATATTTTATTTTATTCACAAAATGTTTAAGATAACTACAGGATCATTTTTTGTATCGCTTTGACTTCTTTTTTATGCTCGCTTGCTGCTTCTATTCGTTCTTTCTTTAACGATTATCTTAAAGTGAACCTTTATGATAGTATCATACTCTGAGTAACGTTTCAATTTATCAGGCCTATATAACTTCTCTGCTTTCATTCCCTTAATTGATGCAATAGAACCATTCACGTTAGTCCACTAATTGTTTGAAAAGCACTGTATACGTATACTCTGCTCCTCATCAATAATCGTATGAGAATTTTCAATTAATTATATATATATATATATACACATAATTATTATATTTGTACGTAAAATTTTTATTCAGTTAGAAAATGTTCTCTCCATAAAGTATACAGTATACATAGTATTTTAGAAACTCGTGATCCTGATCGATAATGTAAACATCTGCCATTACATTATTACTTGATTTTCCTTTTATAGAATCTTTTATGAGAAAGTCCATATTCTTACCACATTGATTCTTGATCTAATCTGCAGCTTTCAATCTTTCATAGATGTATCATACCTTTGCGTTACCGTAAACTAGAGTTTCTATTACACGTTATTAATAATAATAGTAATAATAACGATGACGAATCCAGGACGAGTGTTAGAAAAGATAGAGAAAATTCGTGTAGAGATCGCGATGTTCGCTATAAAATTCACCGCCTTGTTTGTCAAATAATATCAAAAGCCTTGGGCAAAGAATCGGGAACACGGCAAGAGATTAACGTCCCTTGCGTCTACTACTTCTCGTATCTAAACGATGGGAAAAATAAATAAAAATCCCGCAGATACACACGTGTACTGAAAGTTGAATGAAGAGTGCCGGAACACTTTGAAGACTGCAGCGAACATAGCATAGAAACGACCATTAATGCGATGCTAAACAACCGGATGCATGTCGAAGATACTGAAAGATGCAGCAAAGGCGACAACAAATAACATATAATCATCAAGCCGATCGTAAAATCAATCTATCCGGCGTATTTTGTCTGCTGGTACGGTCGACGATCATCGAAACTAGAAAGCTAAGCCTGTGCAGAAATAAAATGAATATCGATGTTAAACGCCTGGTATATTTTATTACGTATAACATTTATACACGATATAAACAACGTTGAGAAGATGAATTATAGACGTATGGATACTTATCGTTAGATATCACGGAGTACCAAAAGAAGATATTTCATTAGTTGTATTTAAATACATTTATACGTTCGTCACGTTGCATTGTGTAAAACATCGAAAGCTTTAATGAACGATAAATTCTTTACGTTTAATGAATAAGCGAATTTGCATTCTAGTAGCCGATGAAAGATAAAGAAATTTAATTATGTACGAGTAAAGTGTATAAATGTAGAAAAACATTCTGATCAGTGGGAAAGAAAATTACGAAAAGAAATTGTAATGCGATACATTTTTTATTTTTCTTATTTGTCTTCTAATACTCTGTAAAAGAGGCTAACTATACAAACAAATTGTAGATTATTTCAAGGAGAAAAAATGGAAAAGTTCTTCTTACAAAAAACAATACTGTTCCTATAATTTGTATCGCGAGGAAATGAGATGCTGTTGGTGAAAGAAACGGTACATATTAAAGGCAAGACATTCTAAAGTTGGACTATAAGGCAATGTTGAGGCACCATAAATTACAGCAAGAACTACGTCGAGCGAATTGCAACACAGACTACTCTTTGTACTGACTGTTGCTGGCCCAAGGAAAATGGGGATCAATTCTGGAACATTAATCTGTATGCGGATACTGGATTGTAACATTTTGCGAAAAAAAAAAAAATTGAGATATGGAAATATCCTGATAAATAATTCTAAATCCCTTCTCTGTATTACTACTGCATCTCAACCAACTATAGCGGAACTAGACTGAATTAATAGGTTATGTATATGATGTATGTATTCAAATTTAGCAAACATACATACCGATTTCGTAAATGTTTGTATTCATTTGGAATATTCAGTATAATTGCTTTACATTAAAGCATACGTGTGATACGATTACTTTTATACGATCCTTATAATACATGATTTCCTTAGGAACTTAATTTACAGGATAGGGGCTTAACTGGGAGTAGAAAAGTTACTAGAAAAATGACGAACAATTTCAGAATATCACTGACAATTAATTCACTGATGGATAGTCGTATATTTGCAGCTAATATACCAAGAAATTGCATTACTTACAAGATCACCTAATAATTCAGTGTTCAATCTTTTTGTCATATTAAAGGTATTAAAGTTGTGAGATCTATGTAATTGTACTAGATGTTAAAAGCTGTTTCAAGTCATAAACAAGTAAATAAATAAATGTAAAATCTCATCGAGACAACGTGTACTGTGAAATCCCTTTACAAGGTTTTTTATAGGTTAGGTCCATATAACCATGCGTAAATGACGATTACGTCAGCTCGTGATTAGCCGAGACTTTGAGTGGCCATTTCTATTCACGATAAAATCTATATAACTTTTATGCTCTACATAAAATCGTATCATAATAAGAGAGAAACATCGATCGACTCTCGGTAAAGGCTATGTAAAGAGATATCTACGCGAAGCCATTAATATCACGACTATTTTATCGGTCGATAAAACAGCGTATCGGAATTGATTCCTATATAAACGTCCTCGCTTTCGAGGGAAGAAAAAGTTTCCGAAATTACTTCGCTACAGTTTTTTCTCTTTTCTTTTCTTTTTTTGCTGTTGCTTCGTTCGGTCTGGAGTTCATTAGTAGTTTAAACGCGAAAACACTTATCGCAGAAAGCGGTGGATTTATTACGGGTAAAGGCTAAAAAGTTTTGTCTGCTCAAGGTCGGTATTCGACTGCGAATTATACCAACCACGATCCCCACTTTTTTACGGTTTTGCCACGTGCCTGGCCTCTTGTCACGTACGCATCGCGGATACAAGGCTGGCCACGTTCGAACTTTCAACGGTGTTAGTCACTGAAACGCGATCTCTGCCTCTTTCTGCTTCTGTGTCTGTATATTCCTTCCGTCTAACGTTCTTTCTGCATTCCTATATTTAGTATCTATTCCTACATGCACGTACTTCCGTCTCTATGCAGCGGCTAATGAAAATATTTAAACGCTTGCCATAGAAAACTTGTACATTTGTATTGCACGTGTCATACAGAATATCTTGAATTTCTTCAGTACCGTAATCAGACATGATTGTTTCCATCATATCGGTCAGATTTGAGATCAATCGCAAAATTCATATAGAAGTTACAGTAAGCTTATTGGCATGTACGAAGTTATTTCCCCTGTTGGTCTTCCTGGTCTAGGGATTAATATGATTTAGGTTATCTTCTAATAAATTGGGAAGGAACTTACTCTGAGCAATTTACTACAAATATATACTTAGTAAAGAATTAATACGTTGTACGAACAGCCACTTTAAACATATAATACGTGTTAAAGATGGCCACACAGAATATTTAGGACTATTTGTACAATGAATAATTGGCTGCTCAAATACTTCTCTGTTGTCTGTGAAATATATACCTGCATTAAATATTTTGTAGTTTCTAATGTATATTTCCAGATCTGTTTAAACTTTACCAATACGATCATGGCGGTCGACCTTCGTTACGGCGCTAATGAAATTTCAAAATGTTTTATATAACACGTACAATATGGACGTAAAAGTTTTCTATGGTAAACGTACAAATACTTTTGCGTGCAACTATAGTTGCTATCTCATCTGTTATTCTCCTCTATTACTGTACTTTTCTGCTTCACGTATAGCGTTACACGAATTTTCATGTACAATGAGGAGCGTACAGGACCGAATCTGGTATAGGGACTTTCCCTATTTACAGGGTAGCCAACAGGGTGCCAACTGATAAAAGGATTTAATAGCTTGAACAATGAAGTACGTAACTTCAATTTGTTTCCTTTCTAAGAGAATTAACGAGACCATCGTGAAGATGGCTATTATGAAATTTTTATTTAGTTTGTAAATAGAAAAAGGAAAAACTACTTGAAGATTACGAACATCCGCAGTCCATTCGTAACTCATATGCTTGCTACTGAATACAGTTATTCGCAAAAATCTTCTTAACTCCTGAAGGAAGGTCATTTTTATTAAAGTAAAACAACTAGCTAATTTCTTGGCAAACTTAGCGCGTCCCAAGAAGATTAAAAGCTGTGAAAACGCGAAACGAGCAAGGCAAAAAGTAACGGCTCGATGGTACGTGCACCTTAAAAGGAAATAGGTGTTTGGTGAAGTAATTAATGTCATTCCGTTGAATCATTCTAGGAATTTAGGTGTACAGAGGAGACACGTGTAGGAGTGATGGAAGCCGTAACACGGAAAATACAGAGGGCGAGAAGAACGAAGATAAAAAGCCGAGTAAAAAAGAAGAGGAGGTCAAAGTCAACTAACTGTGTAAATTCGTTAGCGTTTCTGTAAATACAGAAACCTGAAAGCGCAAGGAGACCAAAGAATCTACTTTCTGGTGCTCTTCTTCTTCTCTTCCGTGGAGGAAAATTCTAACGAAGTTTACCATCGATGGGGTTTCAAAAGCGCGTGATTTCTATGCATTTCCAAACCTTCTCGACATTTGTCTTAAAACATCAGAGAATAGAAATCTCCCGAAACACTGGAAGTAGTAAAAATATTAAACGTAAAGAGGTCAGTAAGTGTTGTATGCCCATGGAAGATATAGAAAAATATCAATATTATTATTATTGTTATTATTGAATTAACACTATAAGATAATAATATTAATTATATTTTATTACAAAGCAAAGGAAGATTGTGTACGAATTTTTCAGTAAATTTCTCAAGAAATGGCAATACTAGAATATCGAAGATATATGAAAAATATAAATTGACTTTGGTATTTCTCAGAATAATAATTGCTAGGTATATTTTCTGAAAGTAATTTTGCACAAACATCTGCAGAAACATACACATATGCAAAGTGTTTGTCCAGGATAAAGATACAAAGCGAATGTGCCAGCTTGAAGATAAGTTCCACCAAGGTCTTTCTTACGGTGCACATAGCTTACACAACGGATGCTTACCGCGCGAATGCTTCCTGCTATGATTCCTACTTATAATTCATGACGGTAATCTGAACTTAGATGACACAAGCGTCAATTCATACAGCGAGCCCAATGATGCAGAATATTATTCCACGACGAATAAGATCAGGTACGCGATACACCTATAGAATGCAAAATCTATTACGTGAATCTTCCTGCTATGTTATAAGCTTCAGTTTGTATTAAGAAGATGCGCAATTATTTTTCGAAAAGAAATTATATTAACAAAGAATTGTTCAACCCTGCTGGATCCGTACGACAGAAAACGAACGTTATATTTCGATAGATGTTACTAATAAAATAAATATTGAAGAAACGATACTCTACTACGCGATACCAAAAAAGAAGAATAAACAGAACGACAAGATGTACAAGTTTGACTTGGAAATATGAGGTACACGTTTAGATATTTTTTATTTTTGAATAATTTTCAGATAAATGTAATGTTCAAAAAATTATCTAAATTACTATTAACAATTAAAAATATTTTATGGGTAAATTCGCTGTAATAAAAAAAAAAGATAAGGAGACACATTCCTTTGCTGAATTTAGCGATTTAGGCACATAAACCTTTTTTGCATCCTATATCTTCCATCGTTTTGTTTCTTTCAATAGGACACGTAGCTTACAACAGACTCCCGAATCGGTTAAGCAGTTTTTAAGTTATGGGACACAAACAAACAAACAAACAAACAGACATACAATAAGGCCAAACACAATACATACCCTGCACTTAGCACAGTCAGGTAAATATTAGATAGTTGTTTAATATTTAACTTTAATGTTATTCTGTATTTGTTTTCTATAGTTGTTTAATGTCTTTTGCGTATTCCACGCTTTTTATGAATCAAGTATTCCAGAAAACAAAAAGAAGATATCTGAAGAGACGCGAACGCGAGGAAGAATTGAGGAAAACTAGCTGCAAAATAATATTATCAAGGCAACTAATAATTTACATAGGAAATAAAACAATGAAGTCGCTGGTAATAGAACCGATATTACAAATTTATTGGCTTCTTAAGAGCAATTGCGGAAGAATTATTGAATCAAAATGATCGAGCAGCGAGAGACGGAGAATTCTCTGGTAATTGGAAATGTATCTCAGTTTCTGAGAACGAAGAACACGTTACGTTTTTAAAAACCGAGAATATTCTTCTACTTCCCTATATGAATAATTACATTTCCAATTACATTTTATAAAAAAGGTCATTTCTATCGAAATGAAAGATGCTACAAAATTTCACTGCGAAATTAGTGCAATCTGTGTCAAGATTACTACGAGATGCTTCGCTGTTATTGTACACGTTCAAACCTGAATAATTACCTATATAATTAAAACCTACTACAAAGCATATATATAAATACAATAGATATAAATTATTACATAAATAAAAAACAGTTTCTTTATGTAACATAAAGAGAAAAATGAATATTATAATTGTCGCAACACAATGCAATGGATAACTATGTAATCAGACTAATTGACTGTTAAAACATTGGTCTAAACAAAATCCATTCTCAAGCACAGACGCTCAAATCGATATTTAGACAGATTTATCTCTCTAGTGCTATTCTAATGCGAAGCTGGAAGTTGCACAAGCTGTAAGACACGTACGGACTCGAAGAGACAACGCTAATTTATAAATAAAATTATAATCAACTGCGAATAGATGGCCGCGAGCAGGCGCCTTTTGTGGAAACATGTAACGCTAATAAAATTGCTGGTACAATAGTTGGACGTAAGTTTCGTAAGTTGATAAAGCATGCGGATAAATTGTGGGAGATCTCTGCGGAATTGAATCTATTAAAGAGCTAGAGAGAGTGTGGGCGTTTCCGTGACTCGCATTCAACACGTGTCATTTGATACGTAAGATGTTGTTCCGTGTCATAAAGCTAATGCTCATCGCGCTGATCTTATCCAACTTCTTAATTAATTTCGCTAATTACCCTGGACGATCGATCGAAAGATGAATCGAGCGTAATACTGTGCGCACAGCCGGCGTAGGAAGTTCGATTAATCTTGAAATGTTTTGTTACCGACGCTGTATGGTACACGCTGATATTGCATATCGGGTGACTCCAAATCGAACGATTCATTTGTTTAAAACGTTCTATTCTGCTCGATCAAAGTTCGAATCGACTTCGTATTGTCAGCAACGTTGCTTCAGCGATAAGTCACGCTGCTCAAGTCATTCCAATCTAAATGACATTTTAATGTACGCAAATAAATACGTGTCTAGCCTACTGTGATTATTCAGTTCTTTATGCCTCAAGATAGCGATCGAAATACGTACTTTTGACGTTTTAAGAGATAGAATAAAAAAAGAGAAACATAGAAATAGAATATAACGTAATACAGTAAAAGTTGGACGAGAAGATCGCGTATATCGTATTTTTATTTCTCTCGAGCTCGAGAAATTTTCGAACGAAGAAGAAACGCTATCGAATTGAAAATGACTGGAGATTAAAGTGTACTGGGAACGAATCATCGAGACATATAGGACCAATGACGAAATTAAAAATACAAATATAATGTAATATAATAATAGAATATTCGTGCAGATGGAACGACGGTAAATATTCTTATTAATATCGATGAAAATATTCTTCTTAATATTAGTCATAGATTCTTTTCTTTTTTCTTTTTTTCTATGCTACATAAAGATACGTTTCTGTGTGGAAATATGCGAAGCGGAGGTTGAATTCATATGCACACGAGGAGAGATAGCGAGGAAGGTTATATGGACACGTAGCAGATAAGAATTGGCTTGCATTCGCAACGGTACTGCGGCTTTTAAAAAGAGCTATTGTATCTCATAGAAATAAAACTCTGGCAGAAATCAGGAAATTCTCAGATAAAGAAAGGTGGTACGCGATTTACAAATTTCAGAAAATTTACGACAAAAAGACGAGAATTTTTTCAACGATAATACGTACAGGTTTAGAAAGTCGAGTCGAGCTGTAAGGAAAGTAAGATCGTCGAAGGATCGTTTAAAATAGAAAAATCCGATGAAACGAAGATGCAACTAGTTCCTACAAAGGTGTAAATTTTGCTGGAATTTACCAAAGGAAAAGCAGAACGATGAAGAAGTATTTCGAGTGTTAGCTTAGCTGTAACGTTCGGTTAGAAGTCTATTTATTTAGATCTCGAATGTACCACTCACGCGCTTTGTATAACTGTCGAAATATGTGATAATAGGATTACGAGAAATTCATATCTTGATTAAATATCGTTGATAGTTAATCGAGTACGCAAGACGCGTACGAGCAATAACGTAAACGAACAAGGAATATGCGTATTAATTGGTTTAATTATTACTGGAATGAATTTCACTAATGATATGCAAACAATACAGATGCCACTGCTACATTATTTCATATATACGAGACTAATGAATCTAAAATAAAATAAAATAAAATAAAACAAAATAAAATAAAATAAAATAAGATAAAAAATAAAATAAAATAAGGCAAGGGAAACGCATGTTAATTATTTGGATAATTGTTATATAATTTTCTAATTTATAGTAGCGTGTAAATTATTGATGTATTTACAACACGGAGGGACAGGAAAGAGCTAAGACACAAGGTGGTTGCATGACAGTAAATGAGGACAATGGGGAAACAAGTACAGAAGATGGCTAGTAGAGCGTAAAAATCTATTTCCAATAATCAGCAAACGATTAAACGTGGCAAGCACAGTACAAATAGCGTTGGAGTATTGAGGCGCGTGGTGGCGTCACAAAGTCTTGAGGAATTAGATACAAGAGTACTTTAAAAACCTCAAGAATCAAGTAACCCAGGAAGAAACGAGGTTTAAACAATAATAGAACAGTCCGGATACGAGGAACAATTAATTCTTCAACGAATGATAAATGATAAAAAGAAGAAAATAGAAGAAGATAAAAATGAGAAGAACTGTAGGGAAATTTTAGTGAAATAATTGCATTAAGATTTAGGTGCATTTAAGAAAAGATGGGATCTCGATAGAGAATCGCTTTACTCGTTTAGGTAGAAAATGAAAGAAATGAAAATTACCGGAATCTCGACGTATCGGCTTAGAACGAGAAAATGCAAATTTCATTTGCAGAAATAACAAATTATTTATATATAAAATCATTATTCAACATATATGAATGGATTGAGAAATGTGGGTTATGGCAGTCAAAAGTGAAACATCAAAATATTAGAATATCTCCAACACGTCGTGGTTTTTATCAGAAACTGCTGTACAAAGAAAACCTTAAAAACTCCTACAGTCGAAGAAGGAATTCAAAGTCGAAGAAGGAAGGAAGAAGGAAGGAAGAAGGAAGGCATACCAAAGCATAAATAACAATAAACAGCCACACGGACCTACTAGCTAAAAAAGCTGCTGCACGAACTTACCAAGAAGACTCGAGATAAAACGCTCCTCCGACTTACTCATTCTCACGCTTCATTCAGTGATTACCGATAACTGTATCGAAATCCACAAGATTCGCTTTAACTTCTCAAAAGAGGCTCTCAAAAGAGGACGTTTAATAAAGGAGATAAAAAATGAGGACTTATTAGACATTATGGGTCTCATAAAGCATTACTATA